TAAAAAACTTAACCTTACAACCTAGTAGTAGGTGTAGTAGTAGTAGTAGTAGTAGCAGCAGTGGTAGTATCGTAGTAGTAATAGTAATGGAAGTAAAAGCATAATAGTGATACTAGTTATCATAGAAATAGAAAATAGCCGTAGTAGTCGTAACCATAACCCTAAAACCTAACCCTTAAACCGTATAATAGTAGTAGTGGTAGTAGTAGTAGCAGCAGCAGCAGCAGCAGCAGTAGTAGTAGTAGTACCACTAGTAGTAGAAGTAGAAGTCGTGTGGAAGCAAAAGTAGTAATAGTAGTGATAATAGTTCAGAAGTTCATACTAATAGTTGTATTTGTAGCCGTAGAAACCCTAAACCGAAAAACCTAACCCTAAAACCTGAACACCTGACTTGAACCCTAACCCTCAAAGCCTAAAACGCCCAGCCAGTACTAGTGGTGATGGTGGTGCCTGGTGGTTGTTTTCGTTGCTTTTGCGGTGTGTTGACACCTGTGTGGGTGTTTCAACCTACCACCCCATATCTGATTCATCTCAGGACCCCCAACCTGGAACCCACAGCGGACAGGGCCAGCGCGTGGGCTTCACCGGCCGCCACTCGAGAGGCCGCGCCCCCCCGTTCGGCCAAGGCCTGTGCTACTGGACGATCGAGCTGATATGGTGCCCTCCTGCCCTGCAATCGATCAAGTTTGTGTTGAGGCAGCAAAACAAAATTGAAAGTGTTTGCAGAAGGGTAATTTGGAGATCTTCATGGAAGATGGCTCCCAATGGGGTGCTTTGCTTGCTGGGGCTTCAATCTACCATGGTGCATGAAATTGCTTCTTCTCTAACTAATCTTGAGAAGTGGGAGCACCATGATCTCTTAAATTCCCAACTCATTCCTCATGCCACCGAACCAGATCCCAGTCCTGGACTATACTTGGCTGGCTGATGCGCCTGCACCAGGACGATGGTAGCCTTGGAGCCGGCTCGCGTTAAAGGTATTTTGTACTTGGTGCTCACCATATCTGAAGGGTATATAGAATTGCATCCTCAAGAAATAACTCTCACATTCTTAGTCAACAGGATGCATTTACGATACCTACCTCCGAGTCAAAGGGGCACAGGTCAATCTGACTTCCCCCAAAAACATCTCGAGCTCTGCACCGTCCGCCGTCCACAATGCAGGCGCCGCAGCAGGGAGACAGGCAGTCCTAACGATGCTGAAGCTAGGTTTTGACGTCTACAGGTCTGCCCAGTTCATTCCCCTGACAAACGTGTCCAGCAGGTGTGGAGCAAGAAGCGGACGTGTTCCTCCAGAGACCAGCTCAAAAATATCAACAAAACCGCGATGGCCTAGAGGAGGTAAAGTGAGGATCACCTGCTCCCGGTCAAAGAAAAACATTTGGACTGCTCCTCCCCTACCAAGAACTATGTGGGTATCAAACATGCATTTCTTGAGTTCAGGATATTTTAGACAAAAAAGATGGACTCAGGGAGCGTCTTTTTGTATGGCTACAGATGGGTGCAGTCACCGCCGCAAAGCTTGCCGTGCGCTATTGATCTAAAAAGATTGCGCCTGCTGGCCTGCTGGACTGCCCCGTGGCACCAGCCACATGCATCAAACACAACGCGCGTGCCTCCCGTGGAGACACCCTTGTGGCTGCACAAAATCAAAGATTTTACTCACTTGTTGAGACACTGAGAGAAGATCTCCAGTACATTCAAGGGCCAATATATGGTGAAGCAAATCCCAAAAAAAAGATCCTAAACGCCAGCCAAAAAGAAAAAACAATGACCCTCCTCACAGAATTAGGTCCTTGATAGGAATGTCCCATGATGCACGTGCACAGCACTCGCATCCTCCTAGACTTACGCCTTCCAATCGCATATGTGGCAGGTACAGCGCACACTCATACTTCACGGCTTACTAAGCGTGGGTGGTTTGTCGTCTTGGATCCTTTGGCATAAACATCAGTGACATCGTTTGGGATACTTTGTGCCTCGAGAAGATGCAAAGTTTGCGCAAAGGACTATTTTTGGGAGGGTGTGTGCAAGCAGCGTTGTTGATATTTACACCAGCTTTGATCCCGTTTTGCTATGACAGCGCCGAAAACAGAGAGAATCCTGCGCGTAACAGAAAGGCATTGGAAACAGAGCCCTAACAACTAGCTATTTGGAAAGCAAAGCTGCTGCACTCAAGTCCGCTCAGACGAATTCCAAACAGTCCCAAATCCACTTGCGCCAGTCAAGCACAACAGACTAGACTGGGGATGTGCTGTGGATCTGTATTATCAAAACAGCGATTTCTGGTCGTTCGGGCAATCGGTCGCCAGGGTCGGTCACCAGAGAGGTCTAGGGAAGGCAACGGAAAAGAAACCAAACCAACCACACAGGATCGGTCGTCAGAATCGGTCGCCAGAGATGTCTAACGAAGGAAACGAAAACAAAGCAGGAAAACAAAACAAACCAATCACCCCGGATCGATCGCCAGGATCGGTCACTAGTGATCCTATAGTTCCTGGTCGCTGATCCGGGGGGGGTGTTGGTCGCTGATCCGGGAAAGTTGGTCGCTGATCCGAGAAATTGGTCGCTGATCCGGGAAAAGTGGTCACTGATCCAGCAGTCGCTGATCCTGGTCGCTGATCCGGACCCTCAGTCGCTGATCGGACGTTTATCCTACTAGGAGCATTCTTGCTTCTAGAGGAACAAGAATTCAATGAAATTCCAGCGGCCAAGAAGAAGTAGCGAAGCACGAACTTCCGGCCATCGATGAGCTCCAAGTCCTGGCGATGAGCTCGGACCAACGGAGCGACCACCAGCTCCACGGTCGACGCGAAAAGGGAACAGATTTGTTTTGGATACTAGCAGCTTCTTGTTACTGGTTGTAAGGCACTTGTTACTAGTAGCG